GAAGGGGGTTCAGGGTTCAGTGCCCCTTGTTGCAGGCATGAGGAACTAGTGCGATTTGGGTTACAGCAGCATGTGGCTTCATCGTTCAGTGCTGCCAAGGGAAAAGAAGCACAAGGGGCTCTGTTATATGTAGTCTGAGAGACAAAAGTCAGACAATGTTTCTTAAAAGATGTTACGATGTCTATACATTACAGAAACACAGTGAAAGACAAAATTAAACACACTGGAGCTCACCTTGCTCACTTCCAGTGGGTCACAATTCACTCATTCATCACAGGTGCTTGAAGTTGTCTCATTTTGGTAACAATGATAACAGAAAATCTTAAAGCACACACAGAAAACATCTCTGCTTTAGCTGACAAAAGCTCCAATTATTAAATTGTCATTAAAGCCTAACTGTATTATCTAATAATATAGCTTAATAATATTGGGTATTGTTATACTTACTGAGGGACCTTTGCAATCCATCTGTATCACATCAGCAAGTGTGATTGCCAAAAATAGAGTGAACCCGGCCTGAAAGAAAGGAAGCTCCTTCTACTGTGAAGAAGTCCCAGTCGACAGGTCAAACACAAATCAGTGCAAGTGGACACTAGCCTTGCAGGTGCACATGGGCTCTAGTCTTGTAAGAAACAATGAAACAAGGAAATACTTCACCAGAAGCTCATTTTGAAGGGCATGGGGTTTTTTTTGTATTATTTTGTCCTCTGAAAACACTATTAAATTACTCGTATACTTCCCAACAGATGGCAGCACTCATACCACAGCTTAAATCCAAGCAGAAACACAATTTAAGGCAAAAATCTGGTAGACTACACCAACCAGATCTCCTATATTTATAACGATGACCTCATATATGTATATAAATGACTGCAAACCTTACCATTTTTCTATTTGACTCGCATGCTTAGGTTTGAGAGTTTTTTCCTGTAAAATTGTTCCACTCTCCACAAATATACAGCTGCCTGGAATACATCCACAGTTTGTACCTATGAGAAAAGTTAAATATCTGGAAGCCCTCAAAGCTTAAGTGCAACTTTTCAAGGTCAGAGCAACAGGAATCGTGGATGAATGAGACAGCAAGATTTATAGTTGTGGCATTTTGTTCATCACAAGAGGCTACTGCGGAAACTTGGTTACCATGGGTGAGCAGTAAAGTCCTGGCAGAATAAAAAAAAAAAAAAAAAAGGTTGAGTCATAAAACAAAAGGAGAAATAAACAGTCAATTCTTACTACAGGATAAGATTAATGGTGGGGGGGAGACAGGGGAGTGCTGCAGGGCTTGATACTAGGAGCACTGTGCCATAAATTTCCTTAAGGACTGAAAGAGCAATAGAGAAAAAAAAAACAAAACAAAAAACCCACATACTAAAAGAGGTGAATGACAGAGTGAAGCCTTGATTCTGCTGCCTCTGAGCTAAAAAGCAAAGCCTCAATTGATGCCAGTCCCAACAGGACTGGCTTTTTTTCTGACCAGAGTTCAGTTTAAGAAAGACTATGAACAACCATGGAATTAATAATTCTAAAGCAGATAACAAGATTAGTAAGGATATAGAAAAAGTAATGTGTATTGGAAGGAAACATTAAACAGCTGCACTAAGCATAGGTTCCAAATCATCCAAACCTTTTTTTTTTTTCCCAGGGGAAATAAGGGACAGAGGAAGAGAAACGTAACAGTGAAAATTCAGTAACACAACTATGTTTTCCACAAGAAAAAAAAAAAAAACCACACACACACACAACAAGAACAACAAAAAAACCCCACAAAACTCACTTGTGAAAAGAACTGGGAGCAAGAGAGCACAACTTGCATGGCTGTGCAAATGATGCTGTGTCTTAAACATAATCAGCCAGGTCAGAAAAATGTATTTTTATGATTTTTTGGGATAGATAAAGCTACAGCTGAATTGCAGGAAGCAGCTCTAAGGAACACCCTGAAATGAAGACAAGGGATCTGAATGGCTTCTACGCAGTAGGAGTATGTGTGTGAGGGCACACGCCTCTTTCTTTTGTAATTTTTCAGTCCTGAATCCCCTTCCAAAATAAGCATATGATTTTATATTTTGATAGAACCAGATTATTAAAGCATTTTTTATTTCACCGAGCTCTGTTACTAATTCTAGCTGCAACAAAGATTACATAAAAACTTTACAGGAAATATTCTTTTATATATGTATATGTATATATATATTAATTACACAACTTGTCAGGAAAACACAGGCTCTATGTCCAAACATCCTGAATTTCATGATTATTGCATCTAGAGGAAAAAAAAAAGTCTTTTTCAATGGAATTATAACCATCATATCATGGGGTTAAGCATAGTTTCACTATAGAGACGTGAACAAATCTTAACAGATGACTTTTAGTGGGGCTTTAGGGCCCTTTCATATTAAAAAAAAAATAAAAAGGGAGAGGGGGGGAATAGGAAGGGATTTTTTTTTTTTAATAAATAAGCATGTATGGAGTTTCCATAACTTCAGAGTTTTAAAATGCCTAGGAGTACTTACTTCTACCTTGAAAATAAAGCATATTCAGAGAAGAATACTGCTAATGTTTGTGAAACCATCCCATACTTTTTACCATTAGAAGACCATTGGGTCTCCCTCAGTCCACAAAGTCTTTCAATAAGGAGGCTTTTAATTTCAGAAAACAAATTTCTCTTCCTACTGATTATATCTCAATGCTTTAGATACAGCATCTTTATTCCACAGACCTAATGAAAAAATCTTAATGAAATGAAAAGTTTTGTGAGGGCTCCATAGAGATAAGCATGAACAGTAGTATTAGTATATGGACATGCATATACAAAGTATATGCATTATCTTTTCCAAACACCTTTTCTTTTGTGCACTACTTTGAAAAATTAGTTGTTTGTAATTACATTGCTGTAGGTAAGCACCAAGTATCCTGTAGTTAAATTAAAACAACAAAAGTGCAGAGAAATCCCTACTATACTCAAAGACTCACAAAAAAATATGCAGCAATTGGAAACACACAGCTTCTATAAAGAAGTGTAACTTCAAAACACTGCCATTTGAATCATGAATCATTAACACCATGTTTTTAAAATGGTAATAAAGTAAAATTTACAAATATGGAAAGAAGTTAGAGTTATCTTATTAGGAACATATTGGACACAGCCGATTTCTACAGCAACCTAAAGGCATTAGGAGGTGATAGCATCCTCCGGGGCACAGCTTTGCGTGTGCATCATATATTATGGCCAAAACACTCATTCATTTCAAATTTATAAGAAGAAATAAAATTTATAAGAAGAAAATATAAGAAGAAAATCCTTTGTTGATTAAGCTATATCTAACAGCTGTACCTAGCACAGGATGGGCTGCCCTAAAATAACCCAAAAGACAGCTTGCTTTACCATTGCTGGTAGGCACAACATGAATAGAACATAATACAAACATGCAGAAGTAAATGTGGAATTTTGGATGCTTAGATTTTGGTATATTGTTTCAAGTAACAATCATAAACTGTTTTGTATACTATGTAGCCTTCTGCAGTGCAAATATCCATCTTTCTCGCTAGACATTTTTAATGGAAATGGTTTCTCATCTCCAAGACCAGCTTGGGCAAATAAGCGCAAACAATGAGAAAGAAAATGTAAAGCTAATGAATCATCTCCTTCTTGCCCCATCACTCCCTTTTACATGGACACTTTGATCAATTTATCATGCTGCTATATAAATGGGAAAGCCAAAGAAGTACTGGCATGGAAACAAGCTCCCAAGAGCTCTCCAAAACAAAATAAAACAAAAACAAACAAGAACAAACAAAAAAACCACATGTGCAAAAACCCTAGTTGAAAAAAAAATGCTATCACCTTTTGCCATCTGAAGCTTTTTATTTATATATATTTTTCTTTACTCTCATAACGCTATCCTGGACTCTGTCACTCCTATTTATAGCTTATCACAAATACAAGTGTCTTGAGCTTTTCTTATCTGCAATGTTTTGCAGCATTGAACAAGCATTTCCTAAATTGACCTGACTTCTCCAGTATATTGGAAGTTGCTCAAAGAACCACAGTCTGTGTAAGAAAACTGTCAATTACTACCTTAGCAAGACAAGAGCAGAAAAGGGAAGTCAAAGAACCAAATTCTGCTACCTGATGCCACTGCAAATCAAGATAAACTCCTAGAAAGTCACACCTGACAGAAGCTATTGGCCCAGAACACTCCAAACTTATTTTTCTTCTTCTTCTACATTCTTAGACCATCACTGTAGTCAAGTTGGGCCTGGTAAACAACTCCTTAGCATTTAGTGATGTAAGTGAAGGACAGGAGACAGCATGCTGTTCAGTAGAGAGCACAGAGAGGCCTCCCTTCCCTATAACTTTCAGGCAAACTCTTTCCTCAAGTCACTTAGGTGATGCTGTGCAGCCTCCCCCAGAGCTGCTGTGACTCTGGAGCAGGGCTGCAGCAGTGCCATGGGCAGGGGACAGGTGCCTTCAGGTCTTATCAAGGCCAAGAGATTATAAACCAACAAGTGCCTACATTCAGCATGGATACATTACCTACTTATACAAGTGCAGAAATTGACGATAAAAGCAACTCCTAACATCGCATAGACTTTCAAAACCCTTTTGTTGATACTGAGCTGCTAAGACTTTCTAAGTGTGCTCACAGCTAAGTATGCCCACGGTACTGTGAAGAACACATGACAAGCTCTACCTGCTAACACAACATCAGTGGCGAAGCCCC